CACGCCCAGTTCTTGTTGAACAACTTCTCTGTTCGCACGGACGGACAGACTCCTTACGAGAGGCATTGGGGCCTCAAGTACGCTTCTGCGGATTGTCGCTTTGGTGAAGTTGTGTTGTTCAGACTTCCTGGTCGCATGCCTAAGGCGGAACCTGCTTGGGAACATGCGCTGCTTGATACCGTTGTGTCTCTACTAGTGACTTAGCATGACTTTACGGTTTAGGAAGAGGGCTCATAAGAGCATGTTAGCATGTTGTTAAATATATGGTAAAGCATTGTTAAGTATATGTAGATATTTAGGTATGTTACACATGTTAGATAACTTTTATGCTAAGTGGGCTAACTATGTTAGAAAGATATCGAACTTAGCTTGATTAGGTTTTCTTGGAAAATAACTAGTTTTATTGATCTTTTGGAAATGTTTTTTTTGACCGCTCATCACGTTTTCGAAACAGGGTGCTTGCCGAAATATCCGAAGATTTCCAGCACCATGTGCTTCATCATAGATCTCCAAACATCCACTCAGAGCAGCACTCGGTGCTTGGCGGTCTGTTCGTAGCAGCACTCGGTGCTTTCGTTGGCCAGCATGAGTTGCCACTTGCCGGGAGCATGGCATGCATCGAAGGCGCCAGGCCAAAGAGGTTTTTCTTGCCAGGGCCGACCATGCCCATGTCCCAGAGCGTCCAAGAGGCCATCACCCAGGTGAAGAATGAGGCTGCCCATCAACACAGCATATCCGGGGCCATCTTCTCCAGGCGAGATGACCATTTCCAGGGCGGTCCTTCCAGACGTCCCTCATGCTGGGCCAGGACTTCACAGAGGCTGTCTCCAACATGGACTTCAAGGAGCCCAGCTCCACGTTCCCATGGCTCCGAGCGGCCAGCTTCCCCTGCCTCTCCCAGCTCCAAGGACAACATTGGCCGCTGCATCTCCAAGCCAGACTTCGAGAAGCTGAAGCAGTCCAACCTCCGAACCACAGTCCTCCAGGCAGAGAGGCAACTCCAGGTGAACTACGAGCTGCTGGTGGCCAGAAATGATCACGACACCAACCTCGGCCGCGCTTGCCAGGCCAGAGCGATGATCAGGACCATAACACCGGGAAAAGCACCAGTACGGCGATCTCTCAGAGATCGCCAGGGCTTTCGGCAAGGAGGTCCAGGACCTCCATGCAGCCCCTGCAAGCAGCCCAGCAGAACCCTAGGCAGCTGCCACAGAGCCAGCAGTGCCAGCCAAGCTCGCTGCAAACGGTTTGCAAGTTTTCATGAAGGGTTGCAGCTGTGTTACTTGGATAAAAGAAACATGTCTATTGGCCGCAGGACACCATGGATGCGGCCAAGATCTGCCTCCAGCGAACGGCCATGCAATTCGACCAGTACTACAAGGTCAAAGGCGACTCCAAGCTGGACCATGAGAATGCCCACTTCCACCACAAGCCTTTGTTCGCCTCCAAGGACGAGGAGCCAGAGGTTCTCTCCGTGGCCCACGAGGACTTGAAGCAATTCAAGTTGGCTCCAGGCGAGCCACCCCGCCTGGTCCCCACAGAAGACACGGAGCCATTGCTGCCGCAGAACAGTGCCAGCACGGACATGGAGGTCGCCAAGGCCAAAGCCACACTCGTCCTTTCCCAGACGTACACCAAGTGTTTCGGCTGAGAATCAAAGACTATCCTAAACAATATTTGTTCTTTCCACACACATAAGTTTGGAAAACATATATCGCCTAAATTTTGCAAGGTTAGAATACATGCGTCACCTTTGCACGAGGAACCAGCCGGAGACAGATGCCGTGATTTGGGCCACGAAGGGCCAGGGCTTGTATGCCAACGACACGTACCAGAGGCTGCAGCTGAAGCTGGTGCCATACGGCACCATGTCCACCCTGAAGGAAAAGCCCTTGCAGACCATGAGCAAGAGCAGCTGTGTCGTCGAAGGCCCAGGAGAGACCTTCTTCCAAGTCTCGGCACCCAAGCTGGACCTGGAAAAGCTTCAGGGCTTGGCTGCGCCATTCTTCCATGTTGGCCAGACCACGGAGCCAGAGTTGGCGAACATGGAGGCCGCCAGCATGACGGTGGAGAACCACAGCATCCCATGCTATCGCAACACGTGCAAAGTCCACAAGGGGGACCAGCTGCTGGTGCTGAAGCCAGCAGAGGACACGGGCAAGGGGAAGTCCAAGATGGAGGGCAAGGACACCAAGGAGGACACCAGGAAGGACAAGAAGGAGCCCAAGGCCACGGAGAAGAAGCAGCCAGGCCCCAAAGCCCAGAGGGCACGAAAGTAGTAGCTGCCAGCGAGGCAGAGCCATGCAGAAACAATGTCACCAGCATCGCTTCCTTGAGAGAAAAAAAACATGCCTGCAGTCGGCATATATATAGGTTGCATGTGCATAACAGATTCGCTTCTGCATGCTGCCGCATGCCCAGTTGTTTTTTTGGGCCAAGCAGCCAAAGGTTTCCAAGCTTCCCAGGAACTGCCAGTAGAGGTGCAGCCATCGCCATGCGTGATGTGTCCATGAAGACCAGCGTCCAGCTGAGCTACAAGGCTGCTGGGACCATCGTGACCTCCAGCTACGACCATCCAAGCAGGCCATCCTCAAAACAGCCATGTGTTCACAGCCGAGGTATCGCTTGATGCTGGATGGCAGCTCCAGTTTGATTTTCGAAGCCATAAGCCCCCCAACTCCCAACCACGAGCAAGATTGCCCTTGGCACCGCTGAGCTTGAAATCATCGACGTGTACGACAAGCATCAAATTAAGCTTGGGATGCCGGAAGACGCTCTTCCAATCGGGGCTTTGCTCGAAGCCAACCGATCCAAGAGCTTGTTCACAGTGTCGTTCCAGAAACGGTACTTTCCAATCCGTTCAGGCGGCCAGCGATCCTTGGGCAAACGAACCCACGTGGCCGGTCCTCCAAGCTGCTTGGCCTGTGTATATAGGCTGATTCGCCATCAGCAACTTGAATCTCATGGCCTGGCAAGAGGCCGAATGCATCAGCGGCCTGGCCAGCTTCCATGGTTGCCGGGCAAGACGTACGTACTCTCGGAGAATATAGCCCAGTTGTTCCCTTCGTCCTTGACGTGGCATCCTTCGAACACGACTCGACCCTTAAACTTGCGATTGGGAGCAGACTCCGGCAATTCAGAATCCTTTTCAACACACATGCCGTCGAAGACGCTGCCAACATGAGCCGTCTCCCCCTTAGATATCGCTTCGTTAGCAACCTCTGCCATTCTCGCACCGATTTATAATCCCAGCAACCTTTTAATAAGTTTGTTCCATTCTTTATCAAGGGCAGCTTTGCTTTGGGATTGGCCGCACGCTCTCTACGATCGACGGGACGTGCGACACAGGCAATGTACAAGAACACACTCGAATCGGGTGCTCTATGTCCGTATTGCGCGCTTCTATACGGCATAACTGGTGCAGCGAGGGTTTCAACGTTCGCGCCATCGTCGCATTCAACAGCCGCGCCTTGTATTGGATTGTCTTCCGGGTCATCGAGCTCAAATTCAACGTCAGTAATCGATGATGTATAGAATTGAGCAACCGCTACTGTGTGAGAATGTTATGACCGTGCTCGATGGGATTGGACACCTCCACGTCTGCATGACTGGATCGTTCATGATATGTGTACATTGCCGGGTACACATCAAGGACCGAACCCTGGACAGGCTGAACTCTTGCCGTCAATGCTTCCTGCGATGTGAAGCGTACACCCGTTGGCACCTTGACACTCGACCTTGCGGGCACAATCACCGAGTCGATAGACTGCAGCGCATGACCATAGAATCCGCCTTTGGGCTGGACAGTTTTAAGCTGAGCGGGTGTCGCACATTCATCGAAGGACACCTTAACTTTAGCTTTGCCAGCATTACCGATAACAAAGACGGTCTTACCGGTCCAACGACACGGTAGTGTACACGGATCCTTCTTCCGCCAGTTGTCCTGCAACGTAAATTCGGTACCATCGGTCATCGCGCTGGTTTTCCGTGCACCCGATAGCAATGATGGGTCAACAGGACATCCTTTGACTGCTGTAGGATCGAATCTGGCACGTTCAGCGACATGACATCGAGTCACAGTTCCGGCTGCCGGGTCATGGTGCCAATGATCTCGCTCCTCCCGACACGCAGGTGAATCGTATGTGGAATCATAACCGTCATAACCAATGTCAACAGGGGCAGCATCCCTGGAATCTTCTCGACCCATAGATCGAAGCTCAGCTTCACGCATCTCAGCCTCTACATACCCCTCACGCTCGGCTCGATTCATACTTCGCCAAGAATCGGAATCGGTTGAATTAGATCTTAGAACCTCGATAACGACGCTCGAGCCTTGGTCCTGACTGTTCGTATGGCAATCCATCGCCACCACCAAGGACCTTGGATTCCGGATACGAGAAGCCGCGAGGCTTATCCAGCGCATGTCCGTCGTCATAGAACTCAACAGTACCGGTCCACAATTGCATGAGCCGAGTCTTGCCGAAAGCATAGCCTTCTTCTCGAATCGTGACTGGACTCTTTCCAGCGTACTGAACCCTCGATACTCGAATAGTGGATAGTTTCGATCAGGTCCACGTCCGATGGCCCCGGGCGTCTTCGCCGGATGGCCGGACGAAAACGTGGTAAATCCACTTATTTTCATCGATCTTCCGCTCCCAATAATCAGCTCCCCCACCATGTGAAGCCTCAGCACGTGCTTCAGCGTCTCGTGCTATGGCTATTTCTTCCTCAGTCATCGATCTGCCAGCATCGAACTCGAAGAGAGCTCTATCGTCATCAATTCCAGGCTCCTGAAAGAGCTCATTTCCATCCTTAGAAGGTCCCTTCAACATCGCGGGGTCATCAACACACACGGTGCGTGATCGTTTATCGTAGATCGCGCGCATTGGAAATGTCCACTGCTCTTTGGGAGAACAATAGATTCGCTTGAATACTGGCTCGCGAGGCATCGCACTTGAAATCTTCGAGATCAGCGACAATGTAATCACCTTGCCATTTTCCGCCAATCTCAAAATGATAGCCGAGGAACATACGAGGTTTGCTTGTAGGGGAGAACTTACCGACCCGTTGGTAAGAGGGCAACTTTCCTGATCCGTCAACAGTGATGTCAACACCTTCCCTTTCTTCGTCCCCTTCATCGCACCACTCATCGTAGTCAGGAAGACCATCAGGGAAGTCGACCGATTCAGCGTCATCCTCAACATCGGCAGGAGTTGCGTACTCTTCTCCATCACCCAGGACAACCTCATCGGATGAACTCCGTCGCGTTTTCTTGCGTGATGGTGTTGGGAGGAAATCGATCAGACATCCGAATGGAAGGCATTGTCCTTCGAATCAAACTTTGGATCACCATATCGATGCTGGAAAGCCGATTCACCGTTGTTCAACTCGATGTTGCGAGCAAAGCAAAAATGTTTGCAGGCATAAGGCCAGAACTTGGCCTCCAGACCTGCTTGTCTAAGGGCAACCCTTGCCCCGTGCAGAACAAGCTTGACTTTGCTTTCCGCAATGGCATTTGTGCGGGGCATACCAGGAGTGGAGTGCACGACAGGAGTGCCAACAGAAATGAACTTCACGCACTTGTGGTGGTGCATATCTTCGCTCCACATCCATGGCGAAAGAGTTTACGTCGCGGAGTTCACCGAAGACTTGCTGAAAAGCACGCAGCGTCTCTGCATTCGTGCGACTTGTCACCGGCACTGACTCCAACCAACCTGTCGCCAAATCGTAAAATACGACAGCATCAGTCTCACCATTATTCCCCTGCTGCCCACTCCATGAAGAACCATAGTATCGACGGTGACATGCTCGCCGAATTTCTAATATCCTTCATCGCGTGCCGAATCCTGTCTGTAGGATTTAACGTTTTCCATCTTGGGGCGCTGACACGCATCACAATATGGATTCTTGGGCAGGTGAGTCATCAGGTGTCGCAGTGACGACGCTTCAGCTTTCAGGTCCCGAGCTCGGTGACCATGGTGATCAGGATTCTCAGCTGGAGGTCCACTCTGAGGAGGCCTCCACGGGGGATCAGATGCTATACTACCTTTTCAGGAACAAGGCATGTACGCCTTTCGCCGCCGCGCAAGGTATAGCGTTTGCGTTTGGAAGGACATCGAACACAGATGAATGCGGAATGGGTGAAAACACTGGCAGGCGCAGTGAATTCGAGATGTTGCATGAAGCGGCCACATTGGCATGCATAGAAAAATGTGTCAGGCGTGGGTCAACAGGCATATTTGACAGACTTGTGTTTGAATGCAACACTTGGTTGAAGACACAACATCCATATAGAAAAAGAAGGAATTCATCGGCCTGCGTGGGGTTTCGTGGCATTGGCCAAAGTGTGGATGTTGAGCAGAGTCTGCCAGAGACGACAGCGCGGTGCGAAAATGTGTAAAAAAAGAAGTAGGCGAAAAGTTGCTTTTAATTCTGTTTTCAGGGTGACGTCCTTCCATTTCAGATTCTGGCTTTCTTTCGGGTTAAGGGTTTAGGGTTGAGGTTGGGGGTTAAAGGGTTTAGGGTTGCTGCTTAGATTAAGGGTTCAGGATTTGGGCTTGAAGATGGCGGCTTTTTCCCGAGAACACTTGAGACGTCTTCACACACCTGCAGGCCTGCGGGGGCACGCTCTTGGTGTTCATTGCGCAGCAAAAAGCTTCGGACATCTGTTGCATATGACCGCAGATGAGCCGGCAAGTCAGGCCCTCTTTGTGCCGATATGATGAATACCTTTACGCATCCCATTCGGGAATCTCTTCCAAAACTGGCCGCACAATGTATATATATCCTGGGGCATATGTGCAACAGAAATTTCACAAGAACGGGAATTTTGAGTCCACTAGTGGGATGCAAAACCCATGCTCTTTTTTCAACAGCCGCACAACGCAGAAGCACACCCTCCTGTCATAGGGATGCGCAGTACTGCCCCACCCGCCCACCCCACACTGTCAAAGTAACATGCCGACACGGGACAGGAAAAAAGGGCAGCGGAGCTCCAATGAAAAATTGCCTTCTCAGAACCAGCCAAAACACCGACAAAACCGTGCTTTTCGCCTCTGGATGCGCAACAACGTAAGTAAACACAACGCGCAGGAGCAGTCAAGAGGTGTAGAAAACACTGTACAAAACCATAGGATTCGACCTGCCCGAATAAAGATGCTTTCAGAAAACAAGCAAAAACACCGCAAATGCCGTGCGTTTCGCCTCTTGACACGCAAAAACCCACGTAAATAGACACATTCCAGCAAGGGAAAGCACGGAAGGCTAACACGCCTGAGCAGTCCGCAGGTGCAGAAAGCACTGTAAATACCATAGGATTCGGCACTTGTGCACGCAATTACCCTCCCCCCCCACCCCCCCCAACCCCACCGCCGTGGAATAGCAGATCTTCCGCGGCGGCAAGAAGCCTACGTGCCTATAAACAACAATCGGAGCAGGGAGCGCAGGGTAAATGCGCGGAAGATCAGTCCGGCCAGCCACTATCTCTGTTTCGCTGGGAACAAGATATGGAATATCGTTGATCACCTCAACTGTGATCCTCCGTCCACGGAGATCATAGAACTTCGGACGTGTGAAAGGTTCCCACACGAATCGGTATCCGAGTTCCATACATCGTTTCCCCAATGATAGCAGACTTGGAGTACTATCAAGCACATACGCCTCAAGCAACTCTTCGATGCCTTTAACGCGCACATGGGCGAGGCCTCGAGTATTGGTCTTGCCGTTCGCAGTCCTCAGACTGAGCTTAGCGTTCTGCACGATTAATTCCCTTTCATCGCGCGAGAGGTCCCCAAGACCAATAAGATCAATACTGCAGCCGGAGTCAAGCATCAGTCTCCGGACCCTTTTGACAGACTTGGCAGCAGCAGCGAAACTTCACACGCACTTCGCTGATCTATAGAGAGAGCGTAAGCTCGAGAACACAAGCATCATTCTCGAGCGTTTACATCGTCAAGAAGAACCTGTTCCCTCCTCAAAACCGCCATCATATGAGCCCTGCGACGTTCGCGAGTGCTATTCAGGCCTCGGATATCTTCCGGCCACGAGGGCCACGAATAGCTCAAGTTCCGTTCACAAACCACAGGCCCAAAGGAAGGATCGGGAAACGACGATGTAATTATGCAGGTTTCAGTATCCCCAAACGATACTGACTTCGGCACGGTCGAAGCGGCAGCAGGAGTGCTTTCAACGGGAGCACTGTGCTTGATATGCTTGTGCGGGCATTTATCGCCGCGTGTACGGGTACCCCTTGCAAAATAGAAGCATTCCCCAGACTCATTGGAAATCGGAGACTTGGATCGCGGGGGAAATCCCTTCGGGGACGTGCTTCGTCTCAGATGTGGGAGAACTTGCATCCAGATCCATGCGAACAGCGACCATGCACGGAGAACGTCTCGTAGGAGCGGGGGCGGCCCTACCAGGGCTTCGTGACCCTTTTCTGAGTGAGCCGCGCCTTGGCGACGATCTCCTCGGCGACGATCGCCTTGGTGAGCCTCGACGTGGGGAGAACTTTCGGAACGGGCTTCCTCGTCTCGACCCATGTCTGCCAGGACTGAAAGATCGTCGTCCTTGGCGAAACCCGGTACGGTGCGGGCTTCCATGCGCTGGAGCGGCATCGCGCCGTCTCACGAGGATGATCGGGTTGCCGAGTACATCTTCTCCCGGTTGCGTCGCCTGCGCCATGTTGTGATCGCATTGGCGCATATGTTCCGCAAGTACGCATAGTTTCGCACGGATGCGTCGCGGTTCCAAAGCTGCATGTCAAGCTTGAGACAATGCAGCTCTCTGACCTGCTCGTAGAATAGAGCGCACAACATACCGTCATCAGGACGATCAACCGAGATCCCAGAAAGAACATGATCCCACTTGTCTGTGAAGGCTTCAAGTCTTTGCTCCTCTACTCCATATCTGAATCGATCGAGGCTAACCTTCACGAGATCAATAATCTTGAACGCGGAATCTCCGTAACATGCGGTCTCAGGAAATCGTAGAAAGCCACAAAATCTGCCGGCTACCGAGCCTCCTACCAATCGTGTGCATACGCTCGGTTTCGGTCTGGATTTTGTTCTTGAGTGCAATTGACTTGGTGCACTCTCTGAAAGCAAAGTTACACTCGTTCTCGAGCATGCCGTACTTGCATTCTTCGGTGAGATCCTCATACTTGTGGTTCCATCCTGGATCTCAACCCATGAAAGTGCATATACGGGATCGTAGGCGAAGGCGTTTGCAACCCTCTCTTTCATCTAGACGATCCACCTTCTGAGCTGGGCAGGTTCGGCGGAATGACTTGCACTTTGCCTTCCTAGCGTCACTCAGCGATCCATCGGCCTTCGGAGCCCCACCCAGGATCATTGGGATTCGGAGGTGCCCCAGTGGCTCGCTCAATGCAAACGACGCAGATGCGCATCGGGTCGCGGCAGCAATCGTTGCAGCAGCTGAACTTGCATGCGACGCACAACCTTCGGCAGGTGAGTGAGAAAACTTCCCGTGCATCGCTCACACTGGAAGGTGTCAGGTCTGCCACTCGGGCGAATCGAAGGAGGGTCGGGGCCTCCATCAGGAGGTGGAAGATCGTTTCCTCCTGGGCCACCGCCACTGGACCATCGCCTCCAAGCGGGCCACCACCTGGGTTTCGCCTATTGCGGCGAGGGAAACCGCCTCCGTAGGCTCCACCGCCGCCAAATCCCCCACCGGTACCGTCGCAGTACCCGCCCGGAGAATTAGTTCCACCGGGTACCCGGAAGCACCAGCAGCACCACCGTGGGCGGTTGGAATAGGTACAGGAGCAGAATTCCTGACAGATTCTCTTGGAATCTCGGACTGCGCGGATTGGTTCGGCCTACTTCGCAAACTCCAGGAGGTCGGAACTATCGGAGCAACAGTATACGTTGCAGCAGAGCTCCCGATGTTCGGAACGGGGAAGTCCCTTGTCCGAGTCCTGCACGACCGAGCATGCCCGACTCCACTTGGCATAGATCTGGTATCGTAGGAGATCTGACATGGAAAAGTCGGAGCCGGGCGAGGCTGAGGTGCAAACAGACGATTAGCATCCTCAGAAATTCGTGCCTCAGGGATAGTTTGCGGAATATTGATTGTAGTAGCGGTCGATCCTGCAGGGATTCCTGCGGTCATCTCTGGCGTCGATCTTACGGCGGATGCCGAGAGATGAACATTTGAAACCGAAATGTTGGAATCGACGGCGGCTCGACCGGAAGACGGGCTAGTACCGTGGCCAGAGGCATGGTAGAATCTCGGCTGAGTCTGCACCAATTGCATCCCGCAACAGGGAATCGTCAGATGCAAGCCCACGGCCGAAATCGATGGCCGGGGCGGTTCGGGCTGGGCTCGGTGTTGATATCTATCGAAACACCAGAGCCACAGCCACCGCTGAGAAGCGGGCCAGTGGCACTACTGTGGGGCAAGAGCCCACCCACTGGTGACGGAGCCTCAATCGGATGGCTCCGGTCACCTTGCCCGGACTCCAAGAGAGCCCGGGCGCCCTCCTAAGAGAAAGAGGGCAATGCAGGCCAATCGGCTGCGGATGGTGCGCGCTGGCAGGCATGGCAGGCGTGGGGAGGCGGGCTGCGTGAGCAGTATCATCGGGCTCCGCAGCATCCCGCGCAACTGGCGTCACTAGTGAAGAACCGACAGTTGAGGGAACACGCGGAGACCCTATCGGAGTCATCGTCTCTCTGTGGCGCAACTTCGCACAAATCCGATCGGGGCAAGGGGCGTCAGGATAACGGCAGTGTATCCGTTACTTATCGGATAGATGATCCGAGTGCCAAAGGCGGCAGCAGCAAGCAAGAGTGCAAAATCGGAAGCAAGAGGTCCTACGGCTGAGAACCTGTGAAAAGCAAAGGAATCCACTTAACTCTCGGTCACAAAACAGTTGTGCTCCCAATCCAGCACTCGGCAAGCAAGCTCTGCAAAGGCAGTGCCAGGCAAAGGTCAGATCGGAGTTTATCACCGTTAGCTTAATCGCTCAGGCAAAAGGCAACACAAGTACTACCCTAAGTACAAGCGGACCTTTTCCTGGACTTCAGCAGAGCTGAGTCTTGAGCAATCAAGCTGCCTTTGAAACAAAGTTGACATGATCCTACCAAGCAACCAAGGTGCACATGTATGCAAGTCGGTAACAAATCACAGTTGTGATTGTTGTAGTTGTGGTTGTTGTTGCTGCTGTCGGTGTTGTTGTTGCTGTTGCTGTTGCTCTTGTTGGTGTTGTTGTTGTTGTTGTGGTGGTGGTGGTGCTGGTGGTTGTTGTTGTTGTTGTCGTCGTCGTTAGTGTTGGTGTTGGTGTTGGTGTTGGTGTTGGTGGTGGTGGTGGTGGTGGTGGCGGCAGCGGTGGTGGTGATGGCAGCGGTGGTGGTGATGGTGGGGTCTTGTTGCTGTCGTTGTTGATGATGCTGCTGCTGTTGGTGTTCTTGTTCTGGTGTTTGTTGTTATGCTTGTTTCTTTTAGCGCTTTTTCTTGTTCTTGTTCTCGCTCTTGTTCTGGTCGTGGTTCGTTGTTGTTGTCGTCATTTTTCCTACAGGTACCGGGAGGATTGTTCCGCGAGATGGAAACTCTATTCGTCTTCGCGGTGGCCTCTTTCCTGAAGGCACCAGATTCTCCCACAACTTCTTGCAAGGGACTTCCCCCAAAAAACAGGGAGATGTCGTTTCCCCTACTTGTCCTAAATACGCTAACTCCCAGTCAAAGTAAGCTTTAGACTCTAGAATCGTATAAACCTTTATATACACCTTACCATTCAACTGCTGACCCTCGGGCTTACGGTCGCCCTCCCTGCGGTTGGAGCTGAGGGTTTGGTGTCTACGTCTTGTAAAAACCTTTCTATGGTTCGATACTGATACTGAGAAGCATCGTTTACAAGTGTAAGGCTTTGGGGGCGAATTCCCTGTACACAGTAACAAATAGTATAAGGGACGAGTGCAGACGTAGTTGGGGACTAATATCTCCCTATCTAGAGGATTTACTGCAAGCATCGTATGCAATAGGATTTTGTTAGCAGTAATCCAAAACGAAATCCGGAAACACACTCACCATTTAGAAGCCCTGGACTACATACATTCACCTGAATTATGTTCATGAACCATACCATGTGCCTTCACAGGCTGAACCCTGAACTTACAACTCTAAAGAGCTCAAACTCTAAGCCTTGACCCCTAAGCGCCGCAGAAAGACCTGAAATCCTCAATCCTGAGAGACCCGAGGCTCACAAGTGCAACCAACCACAAACCATGAAGCCAATCTTTCTATACTTGCATTGTCCCAAATAATCAAGAACCCAGCGCATAAGTTTCGCCCGCATCCTCGAACAACTTAGCTTGCTGGGCCGCATGTACTGCCTGTCCTGCGGCTTTGGCTTGGAAGTTGGAGTTTGAAAGTGGGTCAGGCTTCAGGGCTTGTAGCTTCCCTATAAACTCTGAACGTTCCGGCTTTGGAGACATACAGTTTTAGCACGGTAGGGTACTGGGGGCTTGGGATTTTGGGTAAGTTCTTGTGGGCAATCAAGACTTGAGAAGAAGCGGTGGAATTTAGGTTACGAAATTGGATTTACGGCTTAGGGTTTGGGGTGCTCGCGCTCACGGGTGCAACGGTTAACGGTGCGGAGCTGTTTTGGGGACGCTGTTCGCGGGCCCTCTGCAAGATAAGAACCTCATAGTGATGTGATCGCGCTGCTTGGGGAATAAACCTTAGTAAGGTCAGTAAACAAACTTATACCCCCTATCAAAAGTTCATTTCTGAACTCGGAACGCCTCAAGGCAAGTTTGCATCTCAAACTCACGGAGTCCTTTCAGATGTGCCGTCCTGCAAGCGAAGAAGAAAGCCACCAGTGCAATAGATGCTCCACAGGCAACCTGTGAGATCCGGGTTTAGCATTTTAGAATTCAATTTATTTAGGCATTGGGTTTCCTGGTTTAGAAACACTAACACTGGGCTTCATGATGAGCACAAAGGATTGGAGGGATCGAGGGTTTGTGGAGCGCAGTCGTCAGTCTGTTCCGTAAGGTCTCAGACCCTACACCAACAGCCTGCAGCCGTCAGCCTGCAACCTCACATTGCTCCAACTCTAAAACCGAAGATTAGTCCTCGAACCTCTCGAGATTCTAGACTCCTGTGGCCAAACCTCGGCCTTAAACTGCGTGCAAAGTGGCCGCAAGCAAGGTTGCCACTTGAACTGACGCGCTGGATGCCCCATTTTCAGACTCTGCCAATGGTACCTTTTGAAGGGTTTTAGCCGACGCCTTCGAGCTACGGGTTCTGCAAGTTTGGTAGGGTTTCGACAAGGCACATAGAACAAGTCTTCATAGCATGCCAAATCCTACAATGGTTGTGGCTCATAGGCCTGTAAACGAAGAGACTTTAAGATCTGGCGGGGTGACGCGTCTTTCTAGTAGCATTGGGGCTCTCCTGGAATGCCTCGAGTTGGCGCAGAAGAGGCTTTGACATTTCGGCCACAACGATCTCACTACACATCGTGAGACTATATCTCGTAGGCTGGGTTTAGGGCCAGTTTTAGGGCACAGGTACAGGGTTTGGGAATGGCGTGACAACACAGCAAAACTGAAGCGCTGATCGCTGCTGCTTGCACATTTGACAGCCACAACATCGACCTCCTTCCGTCATGGCCCGTTCTGTGCTGGCAAAGTGCCACAACTGCTGAGGACGATGTAGAGGTGGAAGAGGACGTCCAAGTCGCGGAGCTTCGCGCGGTAGACGTGGACTGATGACGGTTGGATGTGGTATGACACATTACTATTGCTGTATAGGTCGGCAACAGCCGGAGATATACTGGGAATTCACATGCTTCAGGTCAAGCGAACACAGCAGCAGCACAATTAGACATGCGTTCGCAGCATTGACACCGCTCTACAGTCTGGGTGCCCAGCGTGCAACGTGCAAGCACGCTTGCAGGACCACCGAAGCTTCCGGAGTAGTAGGAGAAGCAAGCAGTAGTGAAATTTAGCAACAGCGGCAGCCGACGTTGAAAAACTCAGATGGGCCTAAGGAAAGCTCAGAATGGGCCGAAGGTTACATGAAACGAAACGATTCTGGAAATGCACCAACCTCCATCGCACCCTGAACACTGTGATTTCTCCAAGCTCTGACATGCTCTGACCACGTGTGGGGGGAGGGGTGTTGCGGCTCTCCTTGCTCATGACACCGAACGACCACCGAAATGGCGGTCTCGAAAGACTAACTGCTACTTGGGTTTCTTCCGAAACTGTCCACAACAACATTTATGCTGGTGTATTCAATACGCTTTGAGGCAACGTCTGTGCTGGCAAAGCTCCGATGACCCAGTGGACGACGTCGAGAATGATGTGGATTTGGTCATTGAGGCCGTGTTGGTTGATGTAGATGTAGATCTGCTGCGACCACATAATTCTATTGCCAGTTCTGCAGGCTTCATTTCTGCTGCTGTTGCCATTGCTACCTGTTCCTGAACTGCTACTGCGACTGTTACTAAAAATTTCCACCACGACAACGACTAGTACTATTACCGCTACTGCCCCCGCTACTGCTATTGCATTACCACTACTACTGCTACGACGACGACTACTAAT